CACAGGAGACAAATACCCCATTTGCCATTTTGGATCTGATCCAAATGGGTCAACCTTCTTGATGTTCCTCAACGTTGGCAAGTCACCTTTCTTCCAGCTTGAGTGATCATCTCTCCCAAGTTACATTCACACCACAACGAGGACGTGACCTGAGAACAGCTAAGGGTGTCAACAAGACAATGTGTGTGTTTGTGTGTGTCCTTCTCGGTCGGGGACAAAAGAAGAAATTTTGGGGTTCTCTCCTATGGTTTTCATGTTTCTCCAGATCAAACTCTTACACCCATTTTAAGCACAATATTTTTGGGGAGGAGCAGAGAAGCGATTCCTGCTTATTTTTCAACGGAATCAATCCCAGAAGCTCCCAGGTGTATTTCAAGCACCACAATATCCAGCTCCCCCCCCCAAAAAAATCATCCCTAATTTTCAGAAACCAATCAGTGGCCGTCGAATTCAGTGCCCCGCATCCCCGCAAAATGTACGAAAGCAAACAACGGGAAAGACACACACACTTGGACCACTTCAAGCACCTCGTTGAAATCCACCATTACATCTACCCCAAGAAAAAACACATTCTATCAGTGAACACCCTTCGAAGCGAGAAACGCTTCTTCCTGAAATGTGGTTAAAAAAAGAAATCGACAAGTTTCTTTGGCAACACTTTACCACAACCTTAAAAACTATATATTTTTTTTAAAAAATAATCAATCCAATGCCGTATATACAATACGGGATTGAAGGAGGAGAACCCTGCATGCAGTCATTTTTTTTATCATCGCTCGTACAAAGAGGATTTGAGATGGGTTTAAGGCAGAACGTACGCGAGAGGCCAGCGCGGGACCGAATGCGAGACAGAAATGCAATTCTTGCTTTTTTTTTAAAAAAGTGCAAACGCATTAAAGCTTATGTTAAAGTGTTGCCGTCACTCACACAGCTCGCGCCCGATTCCATAACCTCCGATTTGGGATTTCGTTCCCGTCCCGCTGACTTTCAATGGGAGAAACACCAGTACAATCAGTACAATCTCTTTGAAGGGAATATTGCGACCACAAAGGGACACCGAGGACAGACACAGAGCTAGAACTGTGCTCTGGATTGGTTTTGAACCAGGGTAATCTTCCCTCCAAGTAGCGCTGGAGTTACGACTGGCGAGGTCAAGGTGGGTGGGATGGGACAGTATGCATTTTTAGTTTTGCTTTTTTTTTTGGCAAGTTCCTCATTATAAAACGAAACACAATTCCTCGGACTCTCTCTAGGGAGCAAAGATGATAACCCAGATTAAAATTGGGTTAAGCACCCCTGGTCGGCCAACCAGTCTTGCAGACAATGAAACAGAAAAGGGGGCACTAAGGAAGTGGGGGCACCGGCTGTGTTTGGGGTTGGGCAACAGGGTCGAGCTGCACCCAAGATCAAACTTTGGTTTGCCGTGTTGCAGAGAATTGGGAAAGAGACCTCCGGCGTCCCTCGGCAAGGGGAAAAAGAGAAACACCCACTTGAACGACAGCGACCAAGAGTTTAAAAATATATATATATACCTATAAAATGCTAAATTGTGCTCATACCAAAACGACATCCTGCCAGTCTTCTGATGTTTCTTTAGCCAAAGAGGACCCTCGTGTCTAGTGGAAAGTAGAAGCTGGATTTAAGAGAAGAAGGCATCAAACAGGCGAAAGAAAAACGTGGTGGGATTTATCAATTGCGAGCGGACTTCGGAAGGGGGCAGACAGAGAGAGAGAGAAAGAAGGACATACAACTGGGGAAACAGTCATGGAGACAGGGGTGTAAAAACAACCTGGGAGAGAACCCACAACTTTTGGTTACAATAAGGAATCTCATGTATCTACTACCTATTTACAAAGTCCACGCTAATTTTTGCATATGCAATCATTGAAAATCAGTGCGAAGCCGAGGATCTCTGTGGAAGAGAAGGTGGAGGACGAGGCGGGGGGGGGGGAGAGAGGAACATGTCCATCTAGCCCCCCCTGGGGCCATCTTCGGCTCCCCCTCCCCTCAAATGGACAACAATGGTACAGAAGAAAGAAAACCAACAAAACAAGAGAGGACAAAATGGACCCCGGGAACTTGACATGTCCAAAAACTTAAAAACGGATTACCCCTTCCCGTTCACCCTTTCCTTTTTTTTTTTTTAAGGATCTAGGTCAGGGGTCACCAAACTTGATCGCTTTTAAGACTTGTGGACTTCAGCTGCCAGAATTCCCCAGCCGAAGGAATTCTGGGAACCGAAGTTCACAAGTCTAAAAGGGGTCAGGATTGGCGACCCCTGGCCTAGGGGGGGTCAACAGGACGAGTCGGAAGATGCTCCACTGGCCGCTGAAAAGTGGCTTTCGGATTTGTGCTTAGTGTGAATTTTCAGGGTGAAGCAGTCATTCCTGCAAAAAAATTATCAATTTGGGGGGGGCGGTATTTTTTTTTGGTGGGGGCAGGTTTCCCCCCCCTCTGGCCCTGGGGTTGAGAGAGAGCGTGTGCGCGAGAGAGACCTTCAATTTTGCAGGTGACCAATTTTTCCCCATCTTTTATGAGCTGGAAAGGAAAATCGGAGGGTCGTGATTCTACTGTCCCAGTCGAAAGAGGAAGATTATGCCGATCTGGATTTATGGGACACCCCCCCTCTCTCCCCAAAAGGCTTGGACACTTAATCTTGGCCATTTTCCACTCCGCAGCAGCCAGTTAAGGAGATCTGTTTGGTCAGCCCCATCGCCGAGACGGTCCCAAGACCCACCTTGTGGTTGGGGAACGCACGGGCCAAGCACCAGCAATGAGACACGTATACAAAACCAGAACGACGACAAAAAGGAGGAGGGGAAAAAAAATAAACATACACAAGAAAAAAAAAACACCCCATGATTCCTGCTTAAAAATTCAAGCTTCCATTTTTATATATATATATATATTGATTTCCGAAGTGCAAACCACTTCGAGGGTTGCTTTAGATATCTGCCTAAATTTTGCAACGTGTCACAGAATCTAATTAAATCCAATCCTCCCCGTTTGTTTTTTTTTTCTACTTCTATTTCCCTATCAAAGCCAACAAACCAAAATGGTCAATTCCATTTGAGTCTTTTTCTTCTTTCTTTCTTTCTTTCTCTCTCTCTCTCTCTCTCTCTCCCTCTCTTTGCAAATATATAGATATATATATATATACATATTTCTTTTTTTCTCTTACAAAAATAAATTTCAATTTTAGGAATTATTTTAATAAAAACAATAGACAACAATAAATTTCTCTCTGTAGAAGATGGTTTCAACGTGTAAACATATTCGTTTCTTTCTTTTTTTTTTAATATAGATATATAGATATATATTTTCTTTTAAATTAAGATAAAGTGATTTTTAAAGTACCCGTTCCATTTCAAAGTGCTAAGACTTCTTTGTTTCTAATCTCTTTTTTTTTGTGTGGTTTTTATTGCTTTTTTTTGTATTAAATAAAACATCCATCTTGTTCTGCTTATTTTTTTTATATATATATATAAATCCTCTCTCAATACACACATGCTCCCCTATTTAATTACATTCGGCCAAACAGCTCACCTTTTTTTTAATATATAGTTATATTAAAAAGGAAATCTAAAAAGTGCTTGTCAAAGGAAAAAAAAAGAACGAAAACAAGGAAATAAGACTAAAATTCTCATTTAAAAAATTCTGAAATAGTTAAAGGTGCCCTTAGTTTATTTTATTTATTTTTTAGCTTAGAGGGAGCTGTGTCTTTAAATATATATATTTTTTTGATACAGCTACTTGCTTACTGACAGGAGAGGATAAATAGGAAGAGATTTGGTAAATCACCCCCAAAGACAATTTTGGACCCCAAACCTTATCACGATCCAAATAGACGCCTGCTTAAGCATAAACCTGGCTAATAAACCTGGCTATCTAAGACTCCCAGAACGAGGGACCGTACAAAAATAGGAAGATACATAATGGGAAAGTGGAGGGGGGGGGGAAAGAACCTAAATTAAACTAGGGTTTAATTTATGCCAGGAACAAATCATTTTTCCTACAAAGCCATCACCTATATTTAGGGCTTGTTTTGTGCCAAGTGGGGTACAGACAAGGTGTTTAAGAAAAGCTGGAGGCAGAGAAGGGCCTAGAAAAATCAAGACCCCCGGCATAGCTCTGGGGGGGGGGGCAATCCAGGCCTCTCACCAACTTAAGTGTCCGCTATGGTCCAACTCTGTGTTCAACCTAAGAGATATTTTTTTTTGGGGGGGGGGGAGTACCGCTCTTCCTTCTCCACCCATGAAGGTGGATCTGCCTAAATGAAACTAATCACCATCGGGAGAGATGGGACGTCTGGACGATTTGGTGGCACCTCTGACGTCGGGGGTGTCTCGCATCGGCTTCCCTGGCATGCTGGCTAATTAAAGGACAATATTCCCACGTACAACAAGGTTGGAATATTTGTACCAGCCCGAGAGGAGTGTGTGTCGGAAAGTGAAGAAAAGTGGATGAGCCAGGCACGCGGCTCGTGAGAGCGAGCCAGGCCGCGAGATTTTTTTCTTCCGCAGATCTCAGTGGGGGAAAAAAAAACCCGATGCCATTTGAGGAAACGTGTACTGCAACTTTCAGTACCACTTAAAACAGGGCTTCGTTTGGTCACCTCCTCGGAGGAGGGAAACGAAGAATGAGATTGTAACGACTAATATTAAAATCCTCGCTGGAGCATTTGAACGAAGCGCCAAAGATCTCAAGAAGTTTGGGAGGGCCGGGAAAAGAGATTCACACCGAAACGGATTGCAAATCAACTCCAGACGGAAAAACTGAATCAACGATCTGGAATTGGTAAGCCAAGATGTAGCCTTGTTTGCACCCGCAACAGTCTTGGCCTCTGCCAACTTTGGAAATGGTGGCTTGTTATAACTGTTGAGGGCGTTGGGGTGTGTTTGATCACAAATAATCCCCCCCAAAAAAAGCTTAGCACTTTTAATCCTTTGGCCCACATAGCGCTACGTGGGTCCCCCCCCCCCCCGGTTTGGAAAAAACTCAGGAAACCAACTTGGTTTTCCCTGCTCGACAGGCCAACATCCTGTCCCGGAATCTGACATTTGGGAATGGTGCCCAACAAATGTTGAACCCCCTTTTTCTACCACACACTGACACTGTGAACAATTTAGTCGCTTGGTGCCAACAGGCCCGGAATTCTCTGCCAACAGCCTTAAGAACTGCGATTTGACTTAAAATGAACACTCTTGAAGAAGCTTTGTAGAAAAAATGAGAATTTTTAGAACAGGGGAGGAGGGGAAGGGAAAAGGGAGGGGAATTGGGAAGAAACAGAGATATTTTTCCCCCACCTAAAGCTTCCTCTTTTTTCTTTTTTTTGCTTTTTTAAGTCAGCCAACTCACTGACCACCCTCATTGTGTCCCTTTGGAACAGCAGCTTCTAAAATACCTACAAAAAAGGCCATTATAATATATATGTCTGTATGTATATATATATATATAGTTTTAAAACTTAAAAAACTAAAATTCTGGAAGCTTCGTTTCATGTTTTGCAGACCTCTTCTCTCCACACGTACTCTCCCCACCCCCCACCCCGACCTCTGGCTCAAAACCTTGATCGCTGGGTGGTCTCCTTTCATCCATGGCTAACGAGAGTTTATAATCGAACGGGAAGATCACAGAGATACATTATACACCTATAAGGCTATTCTGACTTATTTGTGGGGTTTTTTTTTGCTTTTTGTCCCAAAAAAAAAAGTGAGGAAACCATATATATATATATACTTTTTTTTTTTCTCAAGAGGAACCGGAGGAAAGTTATAACTAGATTTTGTGACACTTTTTTTTTTCTTTCTTTCTTTCTTTTTGGTTTAGGAAAGTCCTCGTGGTTTTTTTTTTTTTTTTTTTTAATACCCTCAGACAATTCCCCCAGCTACATTCAAACTTCCCGACGCCTCGTTGGCGTTCGAACTCTCTTCAAAGTGCTCTTCTAACTCGTCCTGGGGCGCGGCGGGCCCCTGCGTCTCCTCGGCCTCCTCGCCCCCCGCCAGGCTGCTGCTGTCGTCGGGATTCGAACTCGGGACCGGGGCGACGACGGCCGCTTCTCTCACCCGGGGTTTGCGCCCCCTGCGGGAAGGGATGCCGTTGCAGCCATCTTTCTTAAGGTGCCGATGCAAGTGGTCGGATCGGACAAAAGTCTTGAAGCAGCTCTCGCACTGGTACGGGCGCAGGCCCGTGTGAACGCGCATGTGGTTTTTCAGGTCGTAATTGTGGGCGAAGGCGGCGCCGCATTGCTGGCACAAGTAGGGCTTCTCCCCGGTGTGTTTCCTCATGTGGACCTTCAGCTTGTCTTGCCTGCAAGGAAAGGGGTGGGGAAAAACAAAACAAAACAAAAACAAAAAGGGAGTCAGGGCGAATTGGCTCGCTGACTGAGCTCGCTCTATTTCTCGTCTTGGCTCAGCTAGGTTATCTGCTGAGATTCAAGCGGTGTTTTTCAAACTCGGCCATTTGAAGGTGGATGGACTCCCAGACTTCCCCAGGAACCGTCAGGCTGGCTAGGGAATTCTGGGAATTGAAAATTGCTCCCTGGGTATATCCACATATTGCGAGAGCCATTTTCAACTTCCATGCTAGCTGGGGAACTCTGGGCATTGTAGTCCATGATTGAGGAGAGCATCCATACTGGAAAGACACTAACTTCTTTCACTTAACAACTCACTTAACAACTATCCCACTTGGGAACAGAAATGTTGGCCCATTTTGGTCGTAAGTCGAGGACTACCTGTACTTGAACAACGATAGAGATATTCAGAGTTCTTACACTCTTAAATTCTGATTCCAGTTATCCCTGGAAAACTATGAATTGCCCGAGGGAGTATAAAGCAGCTTTTTAAAAATTTCCTCCCGTTTTTTTTGTGATAATCATTTGGGATACGTAAGATTTGCGTTACATTCTCAATTTGCTCCACTAAAGGTTAGCCAGTGCTAAGGACCTCTAATCTTTTGGGGACTCGATCCTGGACAGATCCGGTTCTATCCTGAATCTCTTACACCAGTGTTTCTCAACCTTGACAATTTTAAGACATGTGGACTTCAACTCCCAGAATTCCACAGCCAGCATTGCTGGCTGTGGAATTCTGGGAGTTGAAGTCCACATGCCTTAAAATTGTCAAGGTTGAGAAACACTGTCTTACACTGTTCTGGATAAAGCAAGATATGGGGCTGTGGAGCTGTGGGGACACAGTGGTTAGAATGCAGCATTGCAGGCTGACTCTGACCAGAGTCTGCAGTTCGATCCTGACTTGCTGAAGCCTTCCATCCTTCCGAGGTTGGTAAAATGAGGACCCGGATTGTTTGGGGGCAAGAGGCTGACTCTGTAAACTGCTTAGAGAGGGCTGTATAGCACTGTGAAGTGGTATATAAGTCTGTGCTAGTGCTACCGTATCTGTCATCCATCCATCCATCCATCTATTCACCATCTTATCTCTCTCTACCATCTTATTTTATTTATTTTTTTATTTTTATTTTATTTTTTATTTACATGGATTTATATGCCGCCCTTCTCCCTATAGGACTCAGGGCGGCTTACAGCATATTAAAACACATAAAACATCGTCCCCCCATAAAAACCTATTAAAAACCAAATATTTTTTTCGCTGTATAATTAATTAAGATTTAAATTAAAATTGTCCCTATTTAAAAATTCTCCCTAGGCCAGACCCGCTTGTT